CTTTCTACTCGAACAAAATCATTAGTTTCCACTTGTTACTGGTCCTCCACTTTTTGATATGCATTTGGTTGGCAGACTCATGTATCTTGTTGTCACTTGCTGGACTCGTCTTATTCACTTCATGTTTTATTTCAGTTTATGAACAAACCTTTTTAGCCTCGTTACGATGCCGCTCTTCGGGTTGTACCACTCGAATAATATCATTAGTTTCCACTTATTACTGGTCCTCAACTTTCCGATCCAAAAAGTATGGGCGTTTGGTTGTCACTCATCTGAACTTGTCTTATTGAGTTCATGTTCTATCTCAGTTTATACAGAACCCTTTTCAGCCTCATAGGGATGCCACTTTTCAGGTAGTGCGCTATTTGAAAGGTAGTCCTGGTCAAGTTAGTTTCTTCTGCATGCACAAATTCTGATTTATGCCTTACTACTTGGTGTGACACTGATTGGGCGGGTTTGTCCACTTACTCAATGTTCTCTTACTGGTCTAAAAACGAGCCTTTCTTCCTCAGGTTGGCCTCATGTCTTGGCAGCAAGTAGCTCGGACATTCGTTGTTCGTCTTCTGTTGCTGCGTGGATGTTATCCCTTGGCTTTCTCCCTCATGTCAGTTTGGTTGCCCTCCACTGGTTGACCCTCCTGACGTATCTGATGTTGGCGTAAGAGCAGTACCCGAAGACAGTAACATTTCGCGCTGTGTGACCAACGAGTTGGGGGAATGCGGCCAGCCGGGCGGGGGGGTCAGATCCTATTGGCCTCGTCTGCCATGCTACGTTCATCTCTTATGTGAGGTTCTTCTTGGCGTTGTCTTTCAACATGATTGTGATCTTTTTGAGAAGACGGAGAAAATAATTCTAAGTTGTATATGTAGAAAAAATTAAGTTTGAAGATAAAAAGTGAATCTGAATAACTAAAAAATTGTTAATTATGCAAATATTCGACATTTTTCGCTCGGGAAAGCCAAATGAGCAATAACGATGCACTAGACATGATATAACTTAAATAAGGTTACTTGGGATGAGTAGGACTCAATTGGACACTCTCTGGTTCCCGAACAAGTGCATACAAAAGTGTGGTGGGCAACTGGCTCTGTCGCAGCCCACGACGGCTGTCATGGTGTCGACGGTCCGTAATGCCTACTAGAAGTCGCGACCATTTTTTTTAGTGAGAGGGGTTATGTCTCCTTGTGTCCATAAGCTATCTTTTGGCTTTCGGGTGCATTCGTTCATGTTTCGGCATGTTCTTCGGAAGGTGTCTTTTGACCCTAGTGATGTCTTCCTACATATGTAAATGAACTTATGACTTGAAATTCATCAACACTAGTAAACATGACATAAAGGCAACTATCCAAAAACCCACCCCCTTATTGATCATTTTTAAACTGGGTCCAATAATTTGACAATTAATCAATTTTGGTCCCATTTTATCTGCATGCTGGATAAAATCGTGACGTGGAGAGATATGGCGTTTTTAGTCCCATTTTATCTGCACTCGGGATAAAATTGTGACGTGGAGAGATATGACGTTTTTAAATCTCACATGGCATGATGATGCGGCGGCAAAAATGCAGAAAGGTCTACAAATTAAAACAAACAAAAGAAAATAAAAAAAAATATTGTGTATTAGGATGAAATACACTTAAAGATCGAACGAATTCAGATCACTCTAGATTCCTCTTGTTCTTATTCCTAAATAGCGCTTGCTGAAAAAAAAATTACCGACAAAAAAAAATATAAACAAGCGTCATTAAATAAAGAATCAGAAAAAAACAAAAAAAGAAAAACAGAAACAAAAATTTGATACCTTATGGATGAGTCCATCGTCGATTATTCTGCTGCTAATTTTCTTAAACAATTCGTGCAAAGCCTCGACTTCACTAACTTTGACTGCAAAAAAGAAATAGTACACTCTATTTTCTGAAGGTTCTTAGATTTTGACTGGAAGATGGGTGAAGGGTAGTGCTGTTAAATTAAACGAGCTTGGTTCGGCTCGGCTCGAGCTTGGCTAGTTAAGGCTCGAGTTCGGCTCGAGTTCGGCTCGAGTGGCTCGAGCTCAAGGCTTTAACGAACCGAGTTCGAGCTCATTAAAAGCTCATTTGGCTAACTAGCCGAGTTCGGCTCAGATCGATAAGGATCGAAAATAAAATTTTTAT